AATTAAAAGAAAAATTAAAACATTGCTGCATGGCCCATGCCTGTCAAACTTATTATGCACTAGTAAAAACATATTGTGTTACGTTAGTTATAATTTAAAAAACCGATTTCCTAGGAAATATATTCCACGCATACAAATATACAATTTACACTTCAAATTTACATTTCATCCGACCTGCCGTCTTGTGATCTCTCATCCGCATGTTGACTAACCAATAAATAATTTACCACAAATCCATCAGATTTTTTTTCAATTTCTCCATCCCGACCATCATCATCACTTTCCATATTATTGTTATCTCTCATCGTTCCATCGTTCAAATTTACTGATATATGTCCATCATCTATGAAACTCGAATTTCCACTTGGAAATCTTCCTAGACCTCCATCTCCTCCATCCATTCCATTCCTACCTTCTAAAACATTTCTGCTTGGCTCATCTTTTTCTTTATTGCATCTTGAATTATCACAAGAATTTTCATTCGTTACATCTCCAATAATAATTTCATATTTAGGTTCCCCATCATTTTTACCCGACATCCAATATATATCAATCATTAAATTTACAATAAAAAATACAAAGAATGCTATCGTAATTTGAATAAGTGCATATGAAAATGCATCGAAGCCATTTGTAGAAAGATATAGAATTTGGTCTTCGTGTACACCCATAAAGAGAAGACCGGAAAGTATCAATAGCTAAATTAAAAATATATTGAACTTAAGAGAATAATGTCAAATCAAATCACATATTGTTATTCAAAAAAACTTACAAAAGGACACAAACTCCTGAATGGCGTAATTGGTTTCTCTACCATCAAAAAACAAACTTCTATCAATCTTGCAACACCTGCACCCATTAGAGTAAATCCAAACATTCTGTGAATTTCTGATGCTATGTCCAATTGTTGAGCTTGTTGACTCAGGATGTAGCCGGTTAATATTATTATTAACGATGGAATTAAATTTCGTGTTGCGTTTTTACGGGATAGATAAATACCGAGTAAACCTCCTGACCACCACATTATGCCTATAAGTGTATGCTAATTTTTATAATAGATAATAGATAATAGATAATGGTTAAATGGAAATGAAAAATTGCTAAGTCATAAATGTCATAAATGTCTGTAAAAAAGGTTTCGATCATGCATACTTGTACATCACCGGAAGTCCAATTCTTTATGAAAAGAATGTTAATAAATTTATTGATTTTCGTTAAATTCTTTATCACCATTTACATTATCAAATACTTACTGTGCCCCATCTAAAAACATTATTGACATTAGAAATTATTAGAAAGAAATTTTAAACATCACCTTAATTTCAGAAAAGGAAATTTACTTATGTTCCATAAACGTATTTATAAATCCCCAAATCATAATAACCCAACTATCATAATAATCTTGTGATTTTCCTTTACGACGTAACCATTCTGTAGAAAATCTCGTGACGAGTATTAATAATATTCCATGTGCCATAAACGTAGAGCCCTATAACATATACATCAAGCAATTATTTATTTATTAACCAATCTAGAATTATAGGATTATATATTTATATATAAATTACCATGATAAAATGTGCAAGACA